AGCTGCGGTGGCAGTGCCTCCACCAGCTGCAAGGTTTGGCCAAGCTCCTCTGTCGGAGCTGGCACAGCTGAGCGATGGCCTCCATGCTCCCATGCTGCCAAGCGTCCAAAGACACCGACCATTGCCATGCCCTGCCAAGCAGAGAGCTGTGCTCCCTCCCTGCCGCCTCCCCTCCGTTTCAGCCGGCTGTAGCTCCATCCAGGAGGTTTCTGTCAGAAATGTTGTCGCTCAGGTTCAGCTCACACAATGCTGTGAGGAAAGGACCTTTAGTCCTTTGTTGAAGAAGGGATCCTGCCAGCCACGCTACCCAACTCCACTCCATGTGCTTAGTCACCTTGAGCGCATTGTAAGAGATTTTCAGTTGACTTCTTCTGAGTTGTCTCCACATCTGGACGTGTCATGAAGAGAAATAGCTTCTTCGTATCAATGGAACAGATTAAGCTAAAGAGCTGTGTATTGTTTACAGTGTAAGAGGTCATTATTTTTATTGTTAGTATTCATTTACTGACATTAGTAATACAAAGGCTTCTGAGTTTACTGCAGGCTGGCGTATGAAGTGCGATGGGCTGGGTCACAGGCCAGAGGAATTATCTTCCGGTACTTTGGGGGTTATGCTGTTTGTTCGCGTGTTTGTCATTATCTGGTATCTGAATATTTCACAGTCTGCAGTGGGATATGGAATTTTCAATATTTTAAAAGAATTTTAGAATTAAATACTTTATTTTTCTCGGGTACAGTGAACATATCAACTGTCCTATGTAGTACGTATTTAAGTTTGCTGGAACAAGAACAAGGTAACATGCAGTGCACTGAGCTTTGTTCCTGCAATTTTTTTAATCATTAGTGGATTTTAGGAACAGGAAAGTATAGAATATTTATTAAGACCAAGGCATAAATGACTTCCAAGACAAGATCACTGAGATCCAACTATCTTTGTAGCATTTTGTGCAGTCTGACAGGAAAAAACAGGATTGTAAATTTCTAAAGAAAACCATGTTTCTGGCATGCTTCTGACCCTTCTGAGAACGTAAAGAATTTCCACTAAGCTCTGTATTACCACAGGTCATGTTCTTCTCCATTGCAGGTGAACATACTTCTGATTTTAATACAGCTTTACAGTATAATCCTCTCCCACAATGGCAGACATTTAATGCACAAGCTATGAGCAAGGATCCAACAGTTGTGTAGTTCCATAAAAAGTCTTTCTGACAAGCAGTGGAAATATCAAGTTCCAGTATAATATAATTTTTTACATTATAAAAGTAAAGCTTTGTGGAGGGAACATTAATCTACCTGTTTTGATGTCAAACAGTTTTAGTATAAAGACATTTCTTAGAAAAAAATGTAATCTGGACACAAAACTCTTGTGTACTTCATCCCAGTAACTCACCCCTGAATCCCAAGACCTAAGCATCAGTTAAAAAAAGAAAAAAAAAAAAATCATACAGAATGTCTTAGAGCTCCATAAATCTTCCATCCCCTTCTAATGGTTTTACCACAGGAGGGCCCAATCTGATCCATACAATTTGGGTTTTCACTGATTCTGTTAGTAAAGTACATAAAACTCTTTCCATCAAGGGCAAACAATGACACTTATTATGGTGTCAAACATACTTTGACGCAAAATGTCTAGTTATTATTCAGTAACACTCTACATTAGGAAAAGATAGTATGAGGAAGTTAAAGTTTGAAAACAATCTTTTATAAAGAGACAATCAACATTCTAAGGGCTCAAATGAGACAGAAAGAAAATGACAAAAACTTTTTTAAGAGCTGGTTTTAAATGGCATCTTAAACATCTGCACCAAACTGTTCCTTTCTGCAAGATTACTGTAAAGCAAAGGTACCTTTCAAAGTAAAAAACTTATTGGCAAAGGACAGCCTTCTGCTGTGTGAGATCTTCTGAAGTGTGAAAACTCCTTGGCTTCATCTTGAATTAAAAGTGAAACATGAGGAGCATCGATAAAAAAGGAGAAGTGGTGGTTTCTGGTTATGGATTGTTTTCCTCTTTCATCTGCTCTTTCCAGTTCCGCATTTTAGTGAATTTATTCTCCCTGCCCTGTTGTTGCCTTGGAATAAAATATTTTGTATCAGAAATAAGTCATACGGCCTGCCATCTGCTTCCTCAACCTTGAAGTACACCAAAGTATATAGTATACTTAGACCCAAGCTGTGACCTCAGCGTAAACTGAAATGTTAGTTGCATCCATTCAGGCTTGTTCTGTGATTGTTGTGTACTGCAAATCTCTTTGTCCTCCCTTGAAGCTATGCAGCAGTTACTACTGGGGAAATGTTCACCTATCACTCTCTGTTCCCGATTCTTGCACTGAACCGGGCAGAAGTGGGATGATGTACATAATGCCCTTTTGATGTTTTCTCTGAGAGTGGGACAGATTCCATTTGTCTTTCAACAAGTGAAGAGAATGTTACATTCTATATTTCAGTTATTCAGCCGTTTTTATAGGACAGGTTATGATGATTTATTACCCTAAGTACTATTACCTACTTGATACATGTTAATATTAAGGTAGGTGCAATAATAAAGACCCTCTTTTACGCCTTCAGTTGCTTGTGACAGCATGGCTGGGTCTCTCCATTGATGTCTGCTCTGCTGTTTGCGGTTACGTTATACAAACTCTTTTTCTGGCCCCTGTTTTTCACACAGCAGATTACTCATGTATTCCCAAAGCTTATTTGGGCCGCAGTCACTCCTTTCAGACCATACAGAAAAAGTCTTCTTCAGTCTGCAGTCCCTTTGTTTTTCCCTTGTTAGCTGAATATCATCAGGAAAGAATATATTGCTGCTGTTAAGATGATGGAGGAGTGCAGTAAGCATTCCCAGTCAGTGCATTTTCTGTTATTACTAAAAGTTGAATTAGGGTCCAGTGGAGTCCAGCAAATCTGAGTGACTCATAGAGCTCACATTCTATCTTTGCTGTTTTCCACTTGAAACAATTGTCAGAAGTTTCTGGTTTCATGAGATATTTTGCAAATGACACGGTTTTTACTGGTTTGCTTACAGATGGTTTTCCTTGAATTGTAATAGCAGGCAATTCTTGGGCTATTGATTAGTAATTGCATTGTTATCTATTCCTTAAATTTCAGTGATAATGGCTGTAATTCTACAGACTGTTTATTTGCGCTTAGTCCTAGCTAGGGTGAATTGTCCTGGTGATAACTTCCTTAATCAACAATTTAGTGAACTTTTATTTTGCATTGTAATTCTACGAGCAAGCCTGCAAATGTTCAGCCTGTCTTTTTTATGAGACACACAAATTTCTCTGTTATTTTAAAGTGGTTAAAACAAGGAGGGGGGGATGCTAGAATTTTGCAAGGGTTGCCATTTTATTTCACACGAGGCATTACGTGAGCATTTTTATTTGCTTATTGTTTATTACAGTGTTCACCTCAGTTGTATTCTTCGCTCTACTGTGAATGCATGTTTGATCTTTGCTATTGGTGAGGCTGACAGTTTCTGATACTCAGTCTCTTTACTATACCTCACTGTGCAAATAGTTCTACCTGTGGTGAGGCTCCAAGCTGATAAAGGATAACTGAAAACTGCTGCAGTTGGAGCTTATGACCCATCTCTTTGTAAACGAGATTTGTAAAAATCTCCCCTTTCGAGGATTAGCACAGAAATGGCCTTGCATGCTACTCAACAGCAGTTTATACCATATTTATGTAAAGAAAAGTTACCTTTCCTGGCAATTTTTCTGCTCTTTGGGAGTGCCAAGTGAATCGCAAGCCTTTCATAGGTCTTCCAACTTGCGGTATGCTCTTTCTGCACTAATGCTGCATTCACAGGTACGTTATTGCATATTCATGGTGACAGATATTTATTTTTAGCTGTGAAAAATCTTTTTCCACCTTTAGAGGAAAGTTTTCTAAATTGTTACACATTGCAGTGTTATAGGGCAGCAAAATTTTTCCTTTTTACCTTAGAGTTTTTAAAACTTGGATACTCTGCAGTATCTGTTGGTCAACAAATCAGTTTCCTTTTATCCTTCTTCCCCTGGCTACAAAACCAAACTTGTTAAGACACTTGCTGATTGTCATCAGGATAAGATACCACCAGATGTACAACTAATATCCTTTCCTTGGATTTTTAGTAATTAATTCCATGATAAACTTGTCAATTCGTAATGTCCTGCTTGAGTGATACACTAAATAGGAATCGTAGACAAACTGAGGCAACTCTGGGGAAAAAGCTAGAGGAACGGCAAGAGTTAGAGCGCATGCCTTGAAAGAGAAAACAAAAGAAACTATTATGTTGCTGGGTTAAAAGAAAGAGAAAATTAGAAAAAGAACATGGCAGTTTACACATTTGATGTGTAAAAGGTTGTTACAGAAATCAGTTCTCCACACTTACTGGCAAAAGGACAAAATGAAATCAGGTTAATGTACAGCAAAAATAATTACACTGGATCCTAACAATGCCCATCAGTAGGAATTGTTAAGCAATATAACAAGTCACTGAAGGATGTTATGGTGTCTTCTTCACTGTTGTTTTTTAGGATCAGATGATACAATATCTGTCAGGGATGATCTTTACGTACTTGTTCTTATCTCTGTGCAGAGCCTTTTAGCTAAGGTAATTATTCCATTTCGCTATTGTACCATTTCTCTCCCAGCTTTCTGGGGAGAGCAGTACCCCTTCATTTCCGCCAAGTCAATTGTTGAAGTCAGAATTATGAAATAAACCAACCATGTGTTTCTACAGTTCTTCACACCAAAGGTGACAGTTTCTGGCCCGGGTTTTGTCAACAGGGTTTTTTTTTTTGAGTGTGTGACTACGTCTGCAAATACAGTCCAGATGGATATGGAGCAGTGGTAATCTAAACAATTAAAATCCATAGGATAGTTTGGTGTGTAAAGGGACTCCTGGCTTTGGAGGATCATCACATTGAAGTGACAAGGTATAGGAAAATAGTTCTGGGATTGCTGACTTACCCAGCTGTAGGATTTTTTCCTATTTCTGTGCTGTACCTAAAACAGAGATAATACATAATTACTTTGTAGAGTATCTGAGTTTTTCAGATGTTGCAGTACTGAAATCTGAATTTAACTATAAATTACTTTGGTCTCATTTTGACATGTAATAGTTGCAGTCCTGATTCTGTAACAG